AAAAGATCCTATCTAGCACTGAGCAATTTTTATTAAGTATGGTACAATTTCAGGATGACTGTAAAAATATAAGTTACCCTAAGGACAAGGTCATTCCCATGCTAGTTGCGCATTTTACTATCCTGGTGACAAACATTCATATACTAAAGATGCTAGCTTTCAACTTCTCTGTCTAATAAAGACTTCACATAAGAGTATGCCTTTTGAAATCAGAATTATGTATAAGCCATGCTATAAACTCATCATTGATTTTTAAAGGATTTAATTTCTTGAAGTAGGATGTTTGGAATAAGGCACTCTGTCCAATGAAACAGTTCATTGCAAAAGAATGAAGCAATTAACTGGGCTAGTAAAGTGGTGATAAATGAGTTTCAAAAGTAAAAGCATACATGCTGATGACGACTGGAGAGTTGAATTCACACCTCTCCTTCTGCTGTTGTTTCAGGCTTCATTGTTGCAGCTTAAACAAAGCCACAGCACAGTTCTAAATATAAAAACAAACCAAGCCATAACATATAAAAGCCTTCTTTCCTCCCACTTTTACTGAACTCTCTCTCTCAAAAAAGAGGCATCAGTGTTTTTCAAATTTTATGGGGGAGAAGCACAATCTGTTCCTATTAACAGGATTTGTTGTTTTAATTATTTTAAAGCATTGAGATTACTTTTAATGAGGAGTTACAATGGTTACTTTATAGCAATCACACATATTAGTTAACAACCTATGAATTCCAAGAAGTATTAACTTGGCTATAACAAAGGTTGCAAAACTTTTTTCAAGCGTTTTATTTTATGCATTTTAAATTATTTTTAGGAAGGCATTTTTTAGGTTAAATGTCTCCATGTTTGTCTTTGAAATAAAAATGAAGTAACAAAGACTTCATTATGACTAAGAAAAAAAAATCAAATGCACATTTCAAACTATTCATTTTGGAACAGAGATAAAGGAAGAAACTCCAAAATTTGAAATTAATTTTAAAATAATTTTTTCTGAAAAATTGTGTAAAATTCTCTCTGAAAAAAATTGTCTCTGAAAATTATGCGTAAATTCACTCATATTTAAAACTGTTCTATTGTCACGATCAGTTCACCTAATTTAGCTGTAACCTCATCTGTACTTCTAGAAAAGGTCAACTTCTCCACAAGATAACGTGAAATCCTATGAATCTGCAAAAATGTAGTTTTACTGCAAGGTAAGAGTGAGAGTGTTAGATTAAGGGCGTAGAGTACAGATGCTAACCTTATATGTAAGTACCACCTTGTCTCTTCTAACCTTTTGTAGCAAGTAACAGCTTATTTCCTTGCATTACAAAGTCTTCTTTTGACAGAAGCAACATGTTGGAAGTGCAGCTGGTTACTAGAGCCTTGACTGGACAAAGGAGTCAGGCAGCATTACAATGTGATTTCTATCTGCAAAATCTTGATGGAGAAAATACCCCAAATATACTGCTACTATGTCTACTCAACTGGCTGGTTCACAGAATCAACAAATGAAGTCTGTTTTTCAAAAGATTTCTATGCTGTGTCTCCTTTTCCCACTCCATCTACCACCACAAGTCTAGCTCTTTTCCTTTCCCCTCAATTCCTTAAGGCATTGCCTCACTAGGCAAGAGACAGCAAATAATGTGACTAACAGGAAGCTGTGCTGCACAGCCAGCTTTGCAGCAGATGAATCCTGCCCTTTTTCAGTGAAGGCAGTAAGCTGGGTTTCTCTCCATTAATTAGCTGCCATTTGCGAGAAGTCTTTGAGACTTCTGCCTACCCTCACGTTAAGATGAAAACAGCCCATGGGTTTTAAAGCTACCAGGGAAATGGCAGAGATGATGCAGAACACACCTGCATAAACTTGGTCCCTTCAGGAAAGGAAACTAAAAGCAAATGCTCTACCTATGCTACTGAAATTTGCAGGCAGCACTATACACCAACCCAAATGGCTTTCATAGATACACTGAAAACGGCGCAAAATGGGAACTGGAGCAAGAATAAGCTGTGCACAGAATTGGCTTAAATTCTGTTTTACTTATGTTTCTGTAACACAAACTGGGTGTAGATGAAAGCATTAGAAGTAGTAAACACTGGCAAAACTGTAGAGATGGGGGAAAATACACGTTTTTCTTCTCACAACTGTTTCCAGTGAACACCACTTTGTTTCTCAGAAAATGAAGTAACTGACATCAACATTTAAAATCTGAATTCATGCATAAAGAATATTACCTTTATAAATGTGACATGTAAATAAACAGAAAATCA